ATCAAGATTAAATTGCATGAATTACACCAATATTATTATATATGAAATATAATTTCAACTTAAACGATCTCAGCACCGTGCCTCCAATATGTGGGGATATTTATGGGATAATAATAGTAAACAGTTGAGAATTGCCCACTAATTCAATTCTCAGATCCCAAATAACGTTTATCGTAAGTGAAAGTATTTAATATAAATAATATCATAATTTTTTTTATAAAAATAGATTTTATTTATAATAATAATAATATGTAACATGCGTGACAATAATCAATGAATATTCAGTATAAAATTATATGCAATACAAAGGAACGGGTATTACGTTTCAATGGCTAAATAGCATTATCTGTCAAGACTTATTTCTGACTATCTTTAACACAGACTGAAAGTGAAACTTTTCACAGCTAAGAACAGAATTCCTCAGAGTGCAGCGTAAGGTCGTAAAGTTTAGCTGACAGTTAGAATAACCCTTTCAATGCTGGCTAAATCTCCTAGGTAGTTAGGATCTATTCTTATGTAATTTTTAAATAAAATACATTTAAACCAGTTCATTAGTCATTTACTGGAACCATCCAATAAGAGAATCTACCATATATATAAGCAGAGTTTGTCTAAAAGATATCTATCTTATATTAGAGCAAATCAATACACCTGGATAAAAACAGCGGTATGCTAACACGTGATAATATCACATCAATATATAATTATTCTTAATTCCACCTGCAGAATGGAATGTTTATAACTATATATTCTTTAGTTAACTAAGATTTCTCAATATGGAAATCTGACCGTGCTTTATCCAGTCATATATAATGCTATTAATACATTTTAATTAATTTAATTTAATTAAATGAAACCAGTATAATTACCAGTTGAGTAGATATTTCATCCGATTGGTAGTCTCAGGAACTTATTTGGATGTCTCTCTGCATGGAGGTTGGAGTCCCCAACTTCCAATTCCTCTCTCCTCTTTTTCTTTGCATATCTCTTGCCTCTGCCTATCTCTATCTTCCCTTTGTCTTAACTTTTAAAGGGCCAGACTCTCTGTACGTCATCAGTTGATAACCCAATAGAAGCACTAGAGGTGTGATTATCTTCCAGATCGCAATTTAGTTATTTGGTCTATAGAGGGCAGTCTTGTCCTACTAAACATACCTATCCAGGAAAGAGTTAACTTTTCCTAGTGGCTATTTTGACGTCATTTTGCTTATCTCAAATGACCACTATAACTTACGTATCCTTCACAGATCAAAGGGTTTCTTAAATTTTGTCCAGACTATATGTCTAGCAATCTGAGTTTTGTCTGATATAGCAGATCATGAACTAAGTTTACCCTTTTCCATACAATGGTACCTTATATATATATATAGACAGTTAAATTTTATTATTTAATCTTCTCTGTCACAATTGTCTGGGTTTAGAATTGATTATATTCTTCTTATCACTTGTTTATACTATGCATTCCTTTTAGCTCTGACAAAGTGGCTAGTCTTACAGAAAGAAATCTTGTGTCTTTTTTTTTGTTGTTAACTTGGAATAACAAAATGGAGTCTGGTCTGTTCAGAGTGACTCAGAATATACACTTTTAGTTTCTATCATAGCACAAGATGTCTGCCGATATAAATACTCTGACAATATTCAAGCACCTTTCTCCGTTCTTAAACATGTATACGCCACTCATAGAAAGCCATCCACCCCTTGTGGATGCGATTTGTGAATGATGCAGACGTCACAAAAAAGGGGCAAGTCCTTGCGGCTATAAAAAGTGGCGCGCTCAGTCTCTATCCAGCTCTTTGAAAAAGGTGCATGTTAGTGCCAAAACGCGCGTTGGGTTAGACTCCACAATGGTGGATTTTTTACTTTAGGACCATTAGTGGATGCCTCTTTACTTTTGATTTACTCTTTAGGATCATAGGAGTCCCTTTACTATTAGGTAGCAGTCATCACTCTAGCTAGACTACGGGCTGCCTCGAATCAGCTGCTAGGTAATTTATTAAGAGATAGCTATTCATAATAGATCTAACTAGACCAGGGGCTGCCTTGAAGCAGCTACTAGTAGCTATTAATAGACTATCAGGCTTTACTCTAGCTATCTTTTTCTCAACACTATTAAAGATATCCCCATTGAATCTGCTCCTCTAATAGGCAATACATCTATGGGCTATCTATCGCCAGTTTAGCAATCTACTTGCAGCACTAAAACAGCTGGATTCCTTATTCTTATTTGTCTATCAGTGCTCTTGATAAGATTACTAGCTACATTATTTACAGCATTGTATATCCTTCAGAGCACACCAGACAGACAAATTTGGCCCATTATCTCAACTGTTTATTATTGTGTCCGTCTTATCTAAGTGCTATACTCCATACAGCACCGTGTTTCTCTTTGTTACTGAGCGAATTCCACTGATGATCTGCAAAACCACACCGCACTAATTTTTTGTCCTGTGAGTCACTGGGATATATTAATAGGGGATTTATTTTTCTTACTCCCATCGCCAGCTTCTAGATTGTTATTCAAATCATTTTGGATTTCCCCATATCTCTTTACCTCACCATAAGAGACTGCACCCGTTCTCCTATTTTGAAGGGATTTTTTGAGATTTAACATTTAATTCAGACCTCGCTCATCACCTTTCTCACTGCAACTCTTTGCCACATTGTATTAGGTTAACTAGCGTTTGTGTCTTTATTTCAAGTGAGGGTTTACTTTTTGGATACTATTATAAGGCTCTAGCAGCTGGTCCTATTTTAACATTTAGTTTTTCTTTTTTGCACTTTTTATAAAACATTCATTTATGTTTTTCGTTTCTTATCTATCCAGTTAGGGATTTAATAAAATCAAATAGTTCTTCATTTTTTATGTATTTATGTATATTGGATTAGCAGCTTTTATCAGGGTAGTAGGATTAGCACTAGGAATCGACTGGTATAGATTTTTTAGAGCCGATACCAATAGCGATAATCTGTGAACTTTCAGGCCGATAGCTGATAACTTACCGATATCGATATTCTGTACATTTACCATTTTTTTTAAAAATACACAAACTACTGTTAACTGAACATGTGTATTATTTATTTATTTTTTTTTGCAAATATCTTTTTTAAAACATACATACCAGTCAGAATTTTTTATGTTTTCAAGAATATATGTGTGTGTAGTGGACACTGACAGACACACACTCACAGACAGACACACACACACACACACACACTTACTGACAGACACACACTCACTGACAGACACATAGACACTCACTAACAGACACACTCACTGACAGACACACAGACACTGACAGACACACACACTCACAGACAGACACACTCACTGACAGACACACACACTCACAGGCACACACACACTGACAGACACACACATTTACACCTTGCACACACATCATTTTCTTTACAGCTCCCTACCTTTGGGAACCGATGTGGGACCTCTCCCTGGGGTCCAGTGGGGATCTTCTATCTGCATCTCACTGCTCCCTCGCGCGGTTTAGTAATGTCGAGTGCCGGAATATGACGTCATATTCTGGCGCCTGGCTTCACTACAGACGGAAAGCAGTTGCCCACTCTGCTATAACACTAAGCATGTACTCGCGGCTCGCCGCCAACATGTCCATTGTGGGCCGCATGCGCCCCACGGCCCACGAGTTTGACATGCTTGGTGTAATGTGTGTATAGTGAATGCAGTGTGTGTGTTTGTGTAGTGTGTATATAATGAATGCAGAGTGTGTTTGTGTATAATGAATGCAGAGTGTGTTAGTGTATAGTAAATGCAGTGTGTTTGTGTAATGTGTATATAGTGAATGCAGTTTGTGTTTGTGTAGTGTGTGTATATAATGAATGCAGAGTGTGTGTGTTTGTGCAGTGTGTTTGTGTAGTGTGTGTATATAATGAATGCAGAGTGTTTGTGTTGTGTGTGTATAGTGAATGCAGTGTGTGTGTGTATATAATGAATGCAGAGTGTGTGTGTGTTTGTGTAGTGAGTGTTTGTTTAGGTATGTTAAGTATGTAAAATGGGGGGGGTCATTTTTATTTTTGTAACTTTTCTCTCTTTTTTTTTAAATATATATATTTTTTAAATTATGTTTTAGTCCCCCCTCCCTGCTTCTTACCTGGCCAGGGAGGCGGGATATGGCATGCCCTGGTGGTCCAGTGGCATGGACTGTGCAGAGGGGGCCCAGCACACTCTTGCTTACCTTCCCAGCAGCTCCATTCACAGGGGAGCTGAAGGTAGCTGCTGGGGAGGTAAGTAAGAGTGTGCTGGCCCCCCCAGGACCCTTATGGCGGCCCTGTTCTGCATTATCGGCAATATTGGTATCTTTATTGGCCAATACCGATATTGCTGAAAATACAGAATATCGTTCGATAATATCGGCCAGACCGATGATCAGTCGATTATCTTGCTCTGGTCTTGCTCTTCGTAAGTCCATTCTAATCTTCCTTATCATATTGCATGATACTGTTTAACTTAATAGCAAGCTGATTGCATTATCTGTGTACTATTACCTGTACTTTACTTGCTATATATATTGGCTCCTACTGGTAGATAATGTGTTAAGTTGACTACTAACCTCATCACTTTTAAGACATAGCGACTTAGATATTATCTTAATTGTGGTCATTGTAGCTATAAAATTGCCATACTCTATCTCGTTGCCATACTCTATCTCGTTGTTATTGAATTATTCAGTGATTGCCACGCATGTGATTAGTATTATTTGTCACAATCAATGTATATTTTTATACATTTTGTGAATTATTGTGTGAAATATAAAATTCACTAATAAACTAATTCAAGGGTCTAAAAGAATTAAAATTAGTGAGTATTACTGATTTTTTTTTATATTAATAAAAAATATTTTTGATAATTTTTTATAAAATTTATTTTTTTTATATTTTATTTACCTCATAAATATTCTCACATATTGTCCCCCTCATTTCTTCTTACATAAATAGACTCCATTTTTTAAATTCCATCTTTTCCTCCCAGGATCCATTCTATGACTTGACTTTAACATTCCTGGAAACTACAACCGATCTAATTGGAGGATTTACCTCCTTGAAGGAGGAAATTGGAAGGTTATCTATGTCCAAGATGGCCACTGAAGACATAGAACTTAAAGGAGAGGCAAGTAGCACAAGTACTGTGAGTCAATCCTAGAATTTCTAATTTTAATTCCCAAGAAATATACAGAACGGCAAATGACAAGACTAGTTCAATGGGATTTCAAATAGAATATGTAGAATTAAGCAAAGGCTATATTTTCTGTTTACAGGAAGACATGAAAACAGAAAACAGTCAACAAAGCTCAGAAGGAGAAATTATGAGCCAATCTACACAAAAATATGCTGGGAAGCAGACTCGAGATCCTCTTGCGCAAAAAGAACCCAATGTTCAGATTAACATCTCTGAGCATGGAACTGGATTAAATGAAAATGGAAACATTGAAATTCCCATATCGGTTAATGAATGCAATAGATGTACAGTTGGTCTCTTTACGCCCAATGAAAACATTTCAGGAGAATCAATCTTTCAACAAGTAACATATTTGATTTTACAGTTATCAAAATTGATATTCTTGAATACAACTTTGTGGTGCATGAAACCTAAGTATTAAAACAAAATCAATTAGAAAGTTGTTTAGTTTTTTAAGTTTATAGCATGTGCTGATTTTTCTTCCTCTCTGTGTTTACCAGGTGGTTAATGATAATTGTGTAGACTCTTCAACCAGTTTAGAGCTCATCAGAAACACGGACTCAGAGGTATCTTTGGAATCCCACCCCTCTTGTCTCTTGATAGGAAGCCAAGCATACGACAAGGTAAAAAACCCAAATGAAGATATGCAGATCAGATGGAAAGCTTTTACAAGAAATAAAAGGAACGAGACAAAAGGAACTGCTACTTATATCCGAATTATTCTAAAAATTAGTGCATAGTTTCCATACATTTCAAGTGTGTGCCATTTTTTTTACCGTATAATATTTTACCTTTTTGTCTGTTTAAATATGCAAAAGATTAGTTATATAAAACATACTTTTTATAAACAATCCTTTGTGCTATAGTAACCATCACATTTCTATCTCAAGTAAAATTTTAAAAAATAATTGTGTAACTTGGGAATGGTATGTTAATGAGCACTGTTTGTATTGTGTTACTAGAAAATAATGATGGTCCCTGGAAAAAACATCACATATTTTTTGGTATTTTTGTATTTGTTCTTTGTCTACTTTAGGTGTCTTCTGAAAATAATGTGTGTGACGTACATAATATTGCTTTAAACTCAGAAAAAACTATGGAAGAGACTGAGCTCGAAAATAAAACACAGCAAATTGAGATGAAGAGACTGTTTGATGGTGGAACAGATACAATAAAGGCAAAAGAAGAAACAGTAGAACAAGCTACGCAGGACCATAAAACAGTGAAGATTTCGGGGAATGAAGAGAACAGAGATTTGGAAGAGATGTGCAAAGAGATAAGTGAAGCAATAGAAACAGTAACTAAGAGGAAGAGACTTTATTCTGAAGAAAGGGAGAGTGAGAATATTGGAAAAGGAAGTGAAAGTGGGATCAACCCCTGGGCTTATCATGAAGAAGAGAAACATGAGAGTGGATTGGATATGGTAGTAATTGAAGAGGAGGCATCTTCAGAAGAAATGGAAGATAGCAGTGGAGAAGATGATAAACTGAGCAGTCCATCTAGCACTCAGGAACAAATAGAGTCACCTCCTGTGTGTGACTCTTGTGGAGTGGTGACAGAGACACAGGAACCATCAATGACCCAACAGGTAATCACATTTCGTTATCATTACTACCACTTGTTACATGCTTCTGTGTGTTTAATTGTTACTTGGATTTTAACAATAAAAATAAAACTTTAAAGAAAATTCTAAATAAACATTGGCATATCCTTAAACAAGACGACCTTTTAAAAGACCACATCCCAGAGAGACCTAATGTTGTGTTTAGAGGGGCCCCCAATTTCAGAACCATCCTCACGAAAAATTATACAAGAGAGAATGTACAACAAAATAAAACTTTTCTATCTAGACCTAAAGGTTGTTTTAAGTGTAATAAATGTATTGTGTGTAGAACCACTAAAGGAATTACAAATTCTAAAACTCAATTTTGCCTCTAATATTACTAAAACCTCCTACACAATGAAAGAATATATAGGTTGTAATACCAAAAATGTGATATACTTATTGGAATGCCCATGTGGGCTCCAATATGTGGGCATGACTAAGAGATGCCTTAAAGTGAGATTAGCAGAACATTGTCGTAACATTAGGAGAGGTTATGAGAATCACTCAGTTTCCAAGCATTTTTAAATACATAATAAAGACCCGACACTTTTAAAAGTAACTGGTATAGAACAAGTTACTCTCCCATGGAGAGGTGGAGATATGACAAAAACTTTAGGCAAAAGGGAAATGTATTGGGTCTTTACACTTAAGACTCTTTTTCCTGAGGGCTTGAATGCTGAATTTGACCTTTTTAATTTTTTATAATTTTTTATAGTCTTTTACAATAAAAAATATATATTTTTTTTAAATTTTTTTTTTTTCTTCCCCAAATGTATAGGAGCTATCTGTTACCATAAGGTTAACAATATATACCTAGCTATTTAGCACCTAAATACACTTTTCACTTTGTTTAGTTCTATTATTATTTTTTTTCTTATCCTTTTACATATTCATATTTTGTTTTATATATTTATATTTGTTTTACATATTCACACTTGTTTTATTTATATTTTTATTTTCAATTATATTTTGTTTTAACATTTGCTGTTATGCCATGTATTTTTACAGTGCTAATAGGTTGATCACGATCGGCATTAGGCGCCGCCCCTTTTGTTGATGTCAGACGGAGGCGTGCCCCTTGTTGCCGGCCCCCGTCTGAACATTGCATACCCCACGAGCACTTGCGGTATACACCGCCCCCACCACTGACGTCAGACGGAGGCGTGCCGCAGGATGCTGACCTCCGTCTGAGCTGTCACATCCTACACCGATATGTGCTATTAGTCACGTGACCGCGAAGGTCCGCGATCACGTGACCATCCATTTTTCGCTCCCTCCCCTGTCACTACATTTCCCACATTGCCTCAGTGCTCACCATGTGATCGCATTAGATTGCGATCACATGATTTTTGAATCAATCTATTATTTTAACAAATAACACTCGTTTTATTATTAAATATTATGCGTTATTTTATATTTTGAATTATGAATACTATGCATTTTGTATTTTTATGTTTTTAATCATTTTGCTTTTCACACACTGTATGGATGACGTCATTTTGGCGCCAAAATTTGAATAAGCATGTTTTATCATAGTTTATATAAGTATCTATGTACCAGGCTGATTTTTACTATTGCCAGTTGATAAAGCCCTGTGTGGCGAAACGCGTTTTGGCTATTTTATATATTTTTTATTGTACTAATAAAGGAATAGTGGCTTCTTTACAGCAATTTTGCCATATACCTTTTTATTTTATTTTTAAAACTTATTTTAAAACTTCCTGTCACCTGGTCATTCACTAACTTGGAGTCTACTCACGACCAAGAATCCTCGGTGGGGATTGTACCACCTATGCGAATATACTGAGCAGTTTATCCTGCTCATTCGAATACAGTCTACACTATTGGATCGTCTTTGTTGCTTATATTTTCCATGTTCACCTCCGAATCAAGACTCCTCTAAAGACTAGAAGATCCAGTCTCTTATTGGACTCTCTACCTCCAAATACTTACCGGAACCTGAAAGAGAAATATACCAAGTACTGTTACTATCATTCACTTATTTGAACTTATCAAAAGTATATCAAGAATTTGGACTATCATTCTTTTTATATATATTTTTTATATATTTATTAAATCCCTCTTTTTTACATATTTCTCCTCATTTATGTTTTAAAGTGTTTGACATATTTATCCCTTTTCATTTGATATTTATGTAGCGCAACCTATTATTCCTGTTTTTGTTATATCAACTCATATCTTATGATATTTAGTGTTCTATATCTACATCTATATATGTATATTGATATATTTTATGTTAGCATTGAGAATGATAACAGAGTTCACGGCTTATGTTATACTCTTATCACACTCTTACACTCTTATCCTTGTTTTGGATATGTATGTGAGGTCAATTTAAAAAAGAACATTTATTTGTGGTGAGATGACAATTGAAGGACAAAATAGCTAGAAAACTTATAAATTGTAGAATTTTCCCAAATTTATGCATTTTTGCCTAGAAGTCAGTTTGTAGCTCACAATTTAGAAAATACAAAAAAAAAAACCTTGATGTATGATAAAAGTATTTAAATAGTTTCTTAGAAACCGAATCACAAGCTTTGAATTACGTTAATACTGAAAAATAAAGAGCAGCATGATCCAGGATAGGTTCTGTGTTACTAATTATAATACATTAATGTAATTAATCTCCAATAGGAAAAAGTGTGCCCAGTAATTAGCACATAAAGTGATAAATATTGTAATAGTGGCTCTAAAACACATGTGTGGGAATAACGCCCTCTTCCCCACACACCAAAATAATACTCTACAGGTGATATAAGTGGAGCTCATGTACAGAAGTGGAGCGGTAATACTTATATATGAAGAGGGTGTCCAGCACATGCGATCTTTAGCTTCCAGAAGCTCTTTCCAACTCTCGGGAGCCCCTAGCTGTCAAAGTGTTGCTGCGGGTTACTGTAGCATTGCTCCACGCGACACGCAAATTCGACTGGGCTGGGTCCCCTCTTCACTACACATAACCTGGCAGTCTGCACAATGCCACGGGACCACCAGGGAGTGTGATGTCCTCCCTCCTTGGCCACATATATTAGGTGTGGAGGGGGGAAAACAATTAATAAATGAATGATAAAAATAAAACCTTTTCCCCACAGAATGCAGCCACTATCCTACCCCACATACACTGAACAAAATTATAAACACAACACTTTTGTTTTTGCCCCCATTTTTCATGAGATGAACTCAAAGATCTAAGACTTTTTCTATGTACACAAAAGGCCTATTTCTCTCAATATTGTATATTGAGATAATCCATCCACATCAAGATGCTGATTAGATAGCATGATTATTGCACAGGTGTGCCTTAGGCTGGCCGCAATAAAAGGTCACTCTAAAATTTGCAGTTTTATCACACAGCACTAGGTGCCGGCCGACTTCACTGGCTGCAGGGAGCCAGGTAATTTGAAAAATCCGAGTCCCTTCCCCAGCCAGAGGCAGGGGATTCTGATATTTGCGCCCCCCTGCTCTGGCACCCTAAGGTGGCCGTCTGGTGGACACGACTGCCCTAAGTCTGCCCTAAGGCGATTTAGGCTGCCGCAAAAACTTAGGGGGCCGCCTAAATAGCCCAATTAGAGAGCAGCCTCGCTGCATATCTATGCAGCAGAGGAGGCCCTGGCCTCTAATGGCCGGAGCGGCAAAATGCCGCCACTGTAAAAGTGCGGCCTGGAGCGGACGGTTTGACTCTGCACGCACTCCATCCACTACACACACAACATCCAGTTTACACACGCTGCATCCTCTACACCAGGAATGCCCAAAAGGTAGATCCCCAGATTTTAAAACTTCCATGACACTTTGTCATTCTAAAGGCATGCAAAACCTCATGGAAAATGTAGTTCTACAACATCTAGGGATCTATCTTTTGCTCTACACAAACACACACACTGCATCCACTTCACAAACACAGTATTCTATACACACATTCTCTGCATCCACTCTACACACACACACTGTATCTTTGTGGGCAGACTTGGTGGCAGGCACTGTGGCCAGATTCAGGGGCGGGCACTATGGACGAGCTCTGGGGTGGATCCCAGGGGCCCAGACCATGAGCTGTGTTAGGGGCCCCAAAATTTCTGATGGCAGCCCTGCACAGGACCAATATATGTAAATGATTTGTATTGTAAAAGAAAAAAAGTTTTTTCTTATAGTTTACCAGATTCTTAATCATCCACATGCACACTTTTTTTTTCTTATATACTACAAGAAGCACAGTAGGTGTTTGCATCTGTAACATGACAGCAGGTATATGTATAGCCCTTTGCTAAAATATCTATTGGTGCTTTCTAGAAATGTGGGTAACTCTATATATTCTACCGTGCATTTTTTCTATAATATTTAATGATAAGAGATAAGTAGAGATAAGACCATCATCAGAACCAAAGTAGCATCGATTGGCAGAGGCACCCAGTTGGGGTGCCAGGCGGTCCGTCACAACCATGTACACTTCTTCATGGCAATGATGTTCCCTGATGGCAGTGGCCTGTTTCAACAGGATAAGGCTATTTGCCACACTGCGAAAATTGTTCTGGAATTCTTTGAGGAACATGACAAAAAGTTCAAAGTGTTGCCTTGGCCTCTAAATTCCACAGATCTCCATCTGATTGAGCATCTGTGGGATGTGCTGGAATAACAAATCCGATCCCCACCTCGCAACTTGCAGGATCTGCTGCTAATGTCTTAATGCCAGATACCACAGGACACATTCAAAAGTTTTGTGGAGTCCATGCCTCGATTCATTAGGGCTGTTTTGGCAGCCTGAGGAGGATGTAGAGTATACAATATTAAGCAGGTGGTTATATGTGTATACATGCCAGTAGTAAATATATCTTATAGCTGTTGGTTAAGGTTTAATATGTAATACCCCTGTTTACTCCTTAACAGGTACTGTGTGCAGAGGGCACCGTAAAGCAGATATACCCCTTGCCACCAGGACAACCCCTGCTACAGCGTGAGAAAGTGTTCTTTCACTTATCAGTAAAGGAGCAGCAGGAGACCTTGCAAAGGCTAAAGGACCTGCAGAGGGAGGCAGAGATGAAGTGTGCTAGTGACAGGAGGAGGCAAATGCTACGGGTGAGTGCCAATTTATTTTATAGTGCGTCAACTTATCTATAGCTCACATGCTGGCTATGTTACCAAGGTGTGAGAGACTATTTTACTGGTATATATAAGTAACTGTGGTAACATGTATCATACTTACACACAGACTACAGACCTCTGCATACATTTACATATAAGAGAGTTTGTGGTTGTGCAAATACATCTATGTGGTGCTGTTTGTGTATGGATAATTTATAAAGTCACAAGTAAAACATAATCACACACATGTAGAAAAAACATCCTCACACAAAAATAAATATACACATACACACTCTAGTATACACTAGAACACATTAACCCCTTAAGGACCAAACTTCTGGAATAAAAGGGAATCAGTATATGTCACACATGTCATGTGTCCTTAAGGGGTTAAAGGGACACTGTAGGCACCGAGACCACTTCAGCTCATTGAAGTGGTCTGACCCTTTTGCACTTAGTGCTGCAATGTAAAACATTGCCGCACATGTGCATTAGTGCATTATTTGCGGGCTATCGGAGGGGGCAGAGAGGGACATCATTGCTGGGAAAAGTTAAGTAAATAAAGGGTATTTAACCCTTTATTTACTTACCTGGGCAGGGAAGGGGGAAAGATAGTGCCAGGAATACAGCTTTAGTATCCCTTTAACTCTCCTGCGAAGAAAAATACAGTCCATGCTAATTTGCATAATTAATTATACATTAATTCCCTAAATCACTAATAAATTAATTACAATGGCTGTGCCTGTAGCATTGTGTATGTGAGGCAGTGTGTGTGTATATACTGTCTGAATGAGTGTGTGTGTGTGTGTATATCAGTGTGTTGTCTAAATGTGTATAACAGTGTGTGTCAATGTCTGTATACTGTGAGTGTGTGTCCACTATGTCTGTATATGTTATTGTGTGTACAAGTCATGTTTAACAGAGGTGGATATTCTGACTCCATTTCTCTCCCCATTCTCCCATCAGAGAAAAATACTGGCCTTTGCATTGCAGGTATTTTTGCAATACTGGCACTGGCCAGACAGCCTCAAATATCAGCTGTGCCAGTAAAATGCTGGAGAGGTGGCAACCCTACAGCAGCTCCTGGGTGCACTTTTAATAGAGATGCAGGCTGAAATATTTCTCGCTACACCTTTCTTATTGCTATTGTGTTCACAGCTCTCACCTCCTATGCAGACATACTGCAGCCTCTCTTTCTTCCTTCACAGACCTATTGTGCCAGGAAGTAACCCCTTCCTCAGGGGAGAGAAGGTCAGAGGGGTGGGGAGGGAATTCAGGCTATGGGTAGGAAGCTGCTGGGCTATTATGTCAGTGTAAATGGGCCCCATGCCTGCTGCTGAGACAAGGTGTAGTCAGCACATTGAGTCCATGTCAGGGATCATATTTATAAACAGCTGGTAGGGCCTACAAATAAGCAAGGGCCTGGAGCTGATGCTTCAATGCTAAAGTGGCTCTGTCACCTCAAACTTACCTTTCTCCTAATGTTCCTCTTTAAGAATCTGTTGCAAAGTGTAATTTTGCAGAATAACAAAAAAAAAGACAATATCTCTATTCCCAAGTTGCCAACTCATTTGTTCTTGTATCATCATGTGTGAAGGTTAATAGATATTTTCTTCCGTAGTTTCAAGAGAGACTGTCCATTGCCAGAATCAGAAGATCACAGGAAGATCTTTTGGGAACCTCTCCGAGTGCATCCCCTCTCCTGTCCCCAGAACCATCGCCCCAGGTGGGACCAAGATACTGAGATGCATTACTTAAATACTTGTGGCATGGTTGGGTTTAAAATATTGGGTATGTGCATGTTGAATACTGCAGGAACATTTCTGAACACATATATACAGGATATTTTAAAGTTTTGTCAAGTAAACTAAATAAGTTGGTTAGCTGTTTGCTATGAATGGTGTTAAAAAGGTATTTCTTGCTATATCACTATTTTGACAGATTTAACAAAAAACACATCCAGCCTCTGATCTTTTTTATTCCAACAGGGTGATACAGAGCATCAAAAGACAGCAGTAAGAGAGCATCTAGAAAGGGTTAAACGAGAGCGTACGAACATCATGCAGACAAAGAGAGAAAGGTAACATGCAACTTTCTGAAATGCTTTATGCGTGGGGAGAATCCCATTATAATGACTAGTTTTCTATCAGAAATTGGCACTTTTATAAATAATGATGAAATAACCCCCTGGGTATCAATCAAACAGCCAGGGAAGTTTCAAAATAAGTTACTAAATAAGGATTATTATTTTTTTTTGCCCATTTGGGCAGTGGAGTTTCCCTTTAATATAATATTTTTGCAATCTTTCAGTAGTCTGTCTACTCTTCTATGTAGCATATTAAACTAATTGAGATCACATCATACTTTGTATGAAGAGCACCAGGCTCTCTCAAATATGTAAATATCTTCCTTGCTATACATTATATTTACTTTTTGCTTACATTATTTATTTATTTTTTTATATTTGTCTTATAGGAACACAAGCACCTTCAGAGAGCTACTAGATCCTGTACTGACCAGGAGTGAATGTGAGGATGGAGAAGTAGGACTCAGAGGAACAGAAGGGGTTTAAGGAAAGATTATGATAATGGTTAAGGAGGGGTGCAAGGAGAGAGAAACCAAGTACTCAGATCTGTACATGAATCAACTTCCTATCAACCAGAGTGTCAATGGACAGCTAAAGACGAATGCAATCTTAATGGCCTCATAGTTGCCTTCTGCTCAGGACACACCCCTGGTTACTTTAGGCATACGGCCATCCTATGTCATAGCCCACCTATCATCTTGTAGACATCTTATATTGTCTCCTACTGCATTATGCACTTAGATGATAATCACAATGACAGCGCCCCTCAGGTTAACTTTCCATGCCTGTGTAGTACACAGATAATTTATGAAGTTAATAAGCTCATATAGATATGTCCTATGTCCCTTATCTAGAAAGATTATAAAGCCCACTATAGGTATCTCTTACACAGTAAACCAAGCAATTAAGTAGAATCCACACTCAACTAGAATTTACACTAAAATAGTTTACAACATATTACATGCTAGATGTGAAGAAATAGTGATAATTGTATTAGGGACTGTGTGCCTGGGAGTTAATTGAATTAGCACCACATTGCAATATGTATGGGGGATAGGTGATGTTTGGATGAGAACTATAAACCTTACTAGCTTAGCGGGATCAGGCAAAGGTTATCAGCAGAGATCATCAGCCGGAGTACCGGAGCTCCGCTACACTACAATATTCTAAGAAAATTAGAAAAAAAATGTATACCATAACCAGTATGACACAGTTGCAAATTCAAGTAAAACTACCACGGTACATCTAAATCAGTCAAAAGACGGCAGTAACAGTACTGTATATAAGATATTCACTTTTTAAGGCAATTTTTATAACGTGAAATGCAAGAAATTACTGTTACTTTAAAACAGCAAGACAATTACTGTTACTGTAAAGCAACTATATACTAGCTGTTTTTCTCATAACACGGTTCATAAGAAAACAAATAGAAACATGCAAAAACATATTCCTCATGCATCAATTGGTCCCCAAAAATTCCTCATGCATAACGTATTCGCAAAAACTTCAACATGCATAAACGGCAAGCAGTACTCCAAATGTATGGAAGTTCACACAGTAGAGTTCAATAAATTTGCAAGAACAGTTCTCCGCACAGAAAAAAAACCCCAGAGCAAACTATGGAACAAAATATCTCCAAAAATAGGATGGGATTGTTTAAATAAATTGTTCTCAATATACTCGAGACTAGTGGCACCACATTGGAAAATAGTGCATCAGTTAACAGAGCGGTCTCCATGGTCCAAACTGTAGAGGAACTGCATAAATGCACACTTTGCTCAATATATTAGGTGAGGGTGTGCGTACTTAGAAGAATGTCCCAGACTTAATAGAAGCCTCTTCTCAGTACCTGGTAGGGTTCTCCCAGGTTTCAATGCAGCTGTTTTGGTTATCTGCTGCAGCCTGGTAGAACCCTGTTGACTACCAATAAGAGACTTCTATGGATTCCAGGACATTCTTCAGTGGATTCTAATTTATTGCTTAATTTAATAATGTTGAAGGTTTTTGTGGAGCCAAACCTGTCGGAATCCTGAACCTACTCATTTACTTTTTCTTCATTATAGTTTATTTTTAGTGACTCCACTTTAACTGTCAGGTCCCTTCTGTGTTTTATTGAAGTATCAATGTTAGAATCACATTTTGTTTTCTAGGTTATCTCTGTTAAGTGAAATGTACAATTTCGAAAGGGGAGATGTTTCTCTGCTTAGGTCCTTATGGGATCAATTTGATATTTATAAGTATATCACTTAAAATGTGAATACTCACTATAGTGTTATGCATTGTTCACATGTAGGACAGGTGATATAATGTTATAGGCAACTTTTTTATGTCCTGTACCTATTATTAAGTGTACATTCATATATGAAACGTGTTATGTTTTCTTTTTTCTTTCGTTTGTCCCTCCTCACTGCAGTAAGTTGCCCTTTTAAAGAATTTAAATAAAGTTTATTTTTCCTTTAACTGAATTCTCAATGGGCTTTTGATTATTATTCAACATTTTGGTTACTTGTGGATTCTGTGCATTGTTTTATTGTCTTCGCACCATAATTGCTTCAATAAACTGAACTTTTATTGTGCTTACATTGTCGATTCAAATATTACAACTAATAAAAAACAAAGTAAATATTGTCACAATTTTACAGTGCAAAAGTAAGGAACTTTTAAAGAATTAGAGAATCTTAATTACAAAATTAGGAAACATTTAGTTGATCCAACTAGAGAGGTAATTAGTTCTGTTTGGCACGTGATGGAATATGGGTGCTGGGTGTTTGAGGGGTGCTCTGTGTGTGTGTAAGAGGTGCTCTGTGTGAATGTTTGTTAGGGGTGCTGTGTGGTTTAGGGGTGCTGTGTGCTAGAGGGGTGCTCTGTATTTGTGTGTATGTGAGGGGTGCTATGTGTGTTTGAGGGGTGCTGTGTGTGATGAGTGTTTGTGTGTGTGGGGGGTGCTGTGTTTGTGTGTGAGAATTGCTGTGTGTGTGAGGGGTGCTGTGTGTGAGAGGTGTTCATTATGTGTGTGTGGGGAGGTGCTCTGTGTGAGGGGTGCTCTGTGTTAGGGGTGCTGTGTTTGTGTGAGTGGTGCTGTGTTTGGGAGGCGTGCTGTGTGTGAGGGGTGTATGTGTGTGTTTGTGAGTGGTGTGCTCTATGTGTGTGAGGGGTGCAGTGTGTGGGTGATGGGTATTGTGTGTGTGATTGTGTGGGCCTATATATTTGGGGGGGGGAGATTAGAAGTACTTAATCTTTTTTTTTGTAATTACTATTTAAAAGAAAAAAAAAGCATAAATAAACTGTATCTCCCCTCTCCCCTCTTCTTACCTTTTCCTCAGGGAGGAGGGATATTGCCCTGGTGGTCCTGTGGAGATTAGCAGCACTACCCTGCCTGCAGCTCCTCTGGCAGTCCTCCCGCAAAATCCTTGGAGCATTGCTGTGGTAACCCGCGGCAACGCTCCGAATTGCCGAGCTCGCGGGAAGAACCTTCCGCCTCCCAACTCTACTTTCCTCCTTCCCTCTCCCGCAGGCTGCAAGTCAGTGCCTTTGGGCAGATGAGGGAGATCTTTGATCTCCCCACCGGCCTATGAAGTACCCAACCCGTGTGGCCGCCATTACCAAAATTATTTCGCGTACCCACTGGGGCACTGAATTGTACCACTGGGGGTACGCATACCATGGGTTGGGAACCCATGGACTAGATGAAAATTCTTGTTCTTGGGTCGAACGTTGGCTTAAAAATAGAGTACATCATTAATGGTTAATTTTCAAGCTGGACAGAGGTGGCAAGTGGTGTCCCTCAGGGTTCTGTTCTGGGAGCCCCTTCTATTTAACATGTTTATAAATGATCTTGAAAAAGGATTGAAAGTCATGTTTCAGTTTTGCAGATGGCACAAAACTCTGTAAAGTAATAAAATGTGAGCAAGATATCACTTGCTGCAGAGGGATCTAGACTGGGGGTCTGGGCACTCAAATGGCAGAAGAAATTTAATGTAGAAAAATGCAAAGTTATACACCTCAGCGTAAAGAATGCACAAGCAATTTATACCCTTAATGGAAGTGAATTAGGGATAACAACACACGAGAAGGACTCGGGAATTGTTCTAGACAACAAACTATGCAACAATGTGCAATGTCAATTAGCAGTGGCTAAGGCAAGTAAAGTATTGTCATGCATGAATAAGGGCATTAATTCTCGGGATGAGAATATCATTTTGCCTCTTTATAAATCACTGGTAAGACCACATCTTGATTATGCTGTGCAATTTTGGGCACCTGTTCTAAAAAAGGATATCATGGCACTAGAAAAAGTGCAGAGGCGGGCTACAAAATTAATGAAAGGAATGGAACATTTTAGCTATGAAGAAAGATTAACAAATGTAAACCTCTTTATTTTAGAAAAACGTCACCTCATAGGGGATATGATAACATTACACAAATATATCCAGGGCCAATACAAACCATTGTGTGGAAATCTATTTACAAACAGGACTATACATAGGACACAAAGTCATGCATTTAGACTGGAAGAAAGAAGATTTATTCTAAGGCAAAGGAAAGTAGTAGTTTTATCAGTCCGTAAAGATGTTTAAACAGCAACAAGATGCATACTTACCTAACAGAATATTTAATTATATAATCTTTCAACTGTAGGGTAATAGCTTCTCGATCCAAGGAAAAATCTGACTGCCATTCTGGGGTCAATAGGGAATGTTTTTCCTAGTTTGTTGCAAAATTGAAAGTGCTTCAAACTGTTTTTTTGCCTTCTTTTAGATCAGCAGCAAAAGCCAAATGTGAGGAAGGTTGAACTTGATGGACACACATCTCTTTTCAGCCCATGTAACTTGACACCATGTGTCAAGCTCAGAGCCAGAGATATGTGGAACTCTGAACAAGTTAAGCTTTATAATATTTTCTTACCTGCAGTAACATTTCTTCATTTTGCATTATTGGTATCCCTTTTGTGTCTTATATTTCTGTTGATATCTCGGAACTTCAGGAGGCAAAAAAAGCATTGTACAACAGATTGATCTAAATATATAGGCTCTAATCAATGTGAGTGGCTCCTAACCATTTTCTGCACTTGCTGTATTTATAACACCATCTTCACGATATGTTTTTCTCCTATTTAATTCTTTTATGTATAATTTGATGAAACATCTACTTTCCCAAATATTGTAAAGGGCACCAAATAAAGATAATCAGGGTGCTGTGAGAAGACATTAGAACCCCCATTGGAAGCCCTTGGTACAAAGAAAGTGTAGACAACACAAGAAGGAATTCTCTCAAAAAATTAACTGGGAGAAAAGTATCAACTTTTTTAGAAGAAGAGACCACGGAGATGGGTTGTGAGAATAGCAAAGGGATAACTATCAAGGGGGACATCTGCTTGCATAGAGAAGAAATATTTGAAAGGAGAATTAAAAGAAGAGTCGTGGTGACACAAAGAGAGGACCCCCAACAATAATAGAGAGGTAGAGATAGCCATGACATATCCATGGCTTTCTATGTCATATCCTGTCCTCTAAACCCATGAACAGTGTGCGGCCTATGCTCTCCAGGATCTCAATGACAGCATAGCCAGAAACATTCACATGCTCCGTAGCCAGACACTTAATGCAATCCCACCTTACTACCCAACTAAAAGAGTTTGGTCAGTAATGTTTTGTTCCCCAGCACCCCTGACAGTCACCTGGTGAAAATCACCTACTCCTCCTAAATGGCCCGGCAGAGAACTATACTACTAATCTTATAATAAACAGCAGAGCTGCATGAAAAACAACTGCCTGATTTAGAACAGAAAATGCACACTGATATCCACATGCCCCCTTTACCAGAACCCAGTGTGCCCTGAAGCCCCAGCTACACCAATGCTGTAAAAAACTCTCAAAACACATGCATACAAGCATTTTTCTTTGACGGCATTTTCCAGGGGACGGCAAAGAACGCCGCCCCCAAATGCCCGAGCTAATGACTTGTTTTATGGGGGCCCAAAAGCTGGCCGGTTGGCCAGCTGGCCACCATTGAGCCCCCCTGGGGCAGGCGGCCAGTTGTTTCCCGGGCCGGCGGCAAGTGAGCACATTCCCCTGAGCTCTACTGCTTAGCTCCCTCGTGCGACTCACAGTGAAGCCAGGAGCTGGAATATGATGTCACTCTTGCTCCCGGCATGACTCTGTGGCACGTGAGGAAGCTTAGCAGGGAGATCACAGCTCCCTTGCTGACAGCTTAGTGTGGCCACCTGTCCGTCTGCTTGCACATCAGCCCGCCTTCCTACCCAGCAGACCCACTGGACCCCAGGTGAAAAATCCACCCAGCTCTACCAAAAGTAGGGAGGATGGGTGGATTTAAAAAAAATTAAATAATAATACAAAATAACTTAACACAAAAAAGTGCAAGTGACACAAGGTGTTCAAAGTGGTGCTAGACATATGAATAAGTGCGATTTCCCCAGTGTCTAAAACCACTCTAAAAACATATATTAAAATGATACAAAGATAAAGATAGGGGGCGCAGGTATAAGTGCAATAAGAAAATAAACAATACTTATTCACACTTGATCATCAGTTAGAGTGGATTCCACCTAAGTGAAAAAACAATATATAGCATAATACTGTTTTGTGTACAAGATTGAAAATAGGTGTCAATTTCACACTCACACTTTGCAGAGCCATATATAGTAGGCTCTGACTTTCAAGGCTTTTCAAAATCCCTTTTGGTATTTTCTCCTCTCCTCCACTTCTTAGGATACTACCGCTGGTGCCAGGAATCAGCAGGATAATAACGCAAGTATAGAGTGGGGATATTAAAAAACTTTAATAAAATGAAGAGTAATAAAACAGGGATATTAAGTACATACAAGGATAAAATGGATAGTCCAAATTAGCAGCACTGTCGCTTTTCGACTCGTCCGGTCTTCTCAAAGTGCATATCTTCCTTCTCCGTTTCCTGGTTCTTATACCCGGCCGGCGTTTCAGTTTGGCGCCCTTAGTTCACATCACCGTCCTTTTCCCTTAACTTCCTGTTTAACTTCAATACGGCATTAGGTATATCCGCCTCCGTTCATAATTGCTTGCTTGCGTCTGACGTGATCAGTCTTGGATGTAGCTCAGCTGTATTCTATATATAGGTTTTGCCATTATTGAAAGCCCTAAACTGGGTATATCACATAGAAAGTCCTGGCAATAACACTTTCCACATTCTAACTGTTTTGAACTTAAAAAGAGTATTATTCCATAAATAAAAATGGTATCTAAACAATATACATAATGTAACTGGTTATAAATTTCCATATACCTTAATTCAAATCACCATATTAAAATAACTAGTTATACTCAATTTAACATCTTTCATTATACATAGAAATACCTGAAAACAAAAATCTTT